TCTACGAGCGAGTATATATGTATAAATGCATACACATGCAAAAAAAAATATATTTATATACATTAGCTTATGTTCAAAAGGTTATTTTCTTACACGCACGCACGCGAGCGCACACATACACACACACACTATACATACATACACACACACACACACACACACACACACACATATATATATATATATATATATATATATATATATGTTGAGAGAGAGAGAGAGAGAGAGAGAGAGAGAGAGAGAATGAGATTGAAAATATAAGAGAAATCTAAGTATATAACTGTCCGGTAGATAAGTTGTTTCTCTCTTTTTGTTCTGTTCAAGTAGTAATAGCCTGCACGAGCGAGTCTTTCAATGAAGAGCATTTGTCTTTGAATAAAATTGACAAGTGAACTATTTTTTGCTTATTCGAAGCCTAGAAAACACAAAATATAATCAGAAATATTCCTACTTGGAAAGTTCTACCGGTCAAATCTACAGCAGCAACTTACTTGCTGGAATTTCACCAATCCCAACCAGGAATTTCGACAATCTGCCAACAGCCCAAAAATATGAGGGGCCTCATTTTCCAAAAAATGTTAATAATACACTCAACCGTACACAAATACAAAACTACTTCATTTATATGAAAGATTTAAAAAATTAAGAATATGTATAAAATGTAAGAGAATTTGAAAGATTTTACTTAAATTATTAAATTCTTTAAATAATTTTATTAAAGAGCGTTAAGTATTATCGAAATACTGGGATGAGAGAAAACTCTTACACGCACGCACGCATACCCCCCCACACACACACAGATACATATATACACACACATCTTCAAACATGTCTTGAATCCGTGGCAAATTATTATCGACTAGATTCGAATATAAACTGAAGTATTGACGTGACCGCGTGCGTCAACTGTGTAATTCTTTCAAAAGAAGACACCTGTTGATATAAAATGGGAAAAGAACAAAATAGTGAAAATTTAATGTACTTCACTTATTGGTTTTATATTTATGTTTAGTTTTTTATATTAATAATTCATACATAGGAGACATTGTAGGTGTATAAGTGAATCAAATATACTTTGTTTAATAGTTTTATTATTTCCTTTTATTAATTGTCTGTAAAATCTAACCCACCTTGTCCATAACTTGACACTGTAAATATTGTATTGTAATGTTTTTCTAAGTAGATATGAAATTTCGGTAGTAGCAGCAGTTGATAAACGATATATAATTATAATTATAAACAATACTTAGTTTAGGTTAGCACAAGGTCAAATTAATAAAACCGACAGTAAGTGTTGGTATCACCCCACTAACAAAGTTTGTAAATAATTAAAATGAGTCTCTAGTCAGAGAAATGAGGCGCAGAAAAATATTCTTCTTTCCCATCACCGGCTATGGATTAAATAGTAGCGAATAATGGGCTCTCATGCCTTGGGTAGCCTCCAGCCTAGTTAAATGACAGCTCAGGACTGTGGAAAATGATACGGGAAACTCATCCTGTAAATTTCCTAAGTCATCCAATTCACAGATATTATAGAAAAGGAGTATGATGAAACGTTTGATCAATAACATCTTTAAGGATTAAATATTACGAAAATAGAAATTAATTTGCTGTTAGGCGTTGGACATGACAGAAGTCGAAGCAAACCTCTGTTTAACAAAGATGCAAATAAAATGTAACATTTAACATCGACTATGAAATCTATTTTTCCGTCTTAACAGATGAACTATATTTTTACGAATATTTAAAAAAATAAATTCACAACTTAAATAAATATTTTTCAACCGACGTTAATTTTCCATATTTGCAAAAAAAGGTTCTGTTCGCAACCCTCGCCATCCACAAAACAAAAAAAGAAGACATTTTGATTCCTTTGACTTTTCATATGATTCAAGAATAGCCATTAGTTGCACCAAACGGTCAGTTAACTTGTAAAACTTCAACTCTCAGCTACTGACATTTTTTAACTGAAAATATAGCGTGATGTGTTGATTAAGGGCAAACGTACTGTTATATTTCTGTATGGCCACCCGAGGTTGAAACTAATTGAGATTATTTTTTATAGATTGACACGATCGGACAAATACCATCGATAAGAACTGAACGAGTCTTCTACAGATAAGGTGAATAAGAGGTTGGCTTGATCAGGTCTCATGGCGTGCTGTGAGCGATCAAAGGGTCCCAGGCCACTTACGTTTTTGTCTCAGATATTCTTGTCTGATAACGGAATGTTCGAGAATCTATGTAAAATGTCAGGCTAATTCCAAAAAAGGACGCAGCTAAAACTAGTGATTCCCTCAAGAATACAAAACATTCTTTAACATACACATCTATTGACATCACACACATACAGGATGCGATATATATATATATATATATATATATATATATATAATGGACATACACATGCATATACTCAAGTATAGTTATAGTTACATATGTGCATCTGTATTGTGTGCGATGGTTAAACTAGCAGTCCAGTGTAGTGAATTTGATTCTTGCTATACTTTCAAACCTTTATCAATTAACTAAACTTGGTTAAACTGTACATGTAGACATATAATAATGGCAGGCTATCCGTTTTTCCGTTGACAACCGACTTCTTCGGCGATTAGCCAATCCCAGTTGCAGACGCCTTCTCAGGTACATTTATGCTTCTTTAATACCCACTTGCGGTTTATACTTTCAACTATGCCCAGTAGATTTTAGTTACAGTTTCGGGAAGAGCGCATAATCTAGTGTGATCAATAATTTCGACATATTCTGAATAGTTTCGTCAATTTCACATATAAAGCTTCGTAGAGTACGTAACATCAAGAAGTTGAGACAATAGTGAAACTGAACCCATGTGTCAGGATCAGAAAGCGAAGTTTCTAATCACTCGATCACCATATATAAATTGTTGTTGCACATTAGAACATGCAGTGGTGTCTATAAGAAGGGCGAAATCTTTCACGTTACATAATTTACTGGCAAATTTAATGTTCCACTGGAGCTTAGATACGTAAGCTAACAATATTTCTAATTTTCTTTAAATAAAATTAAATCTTTTTTTCAATTTATATATTAAACTGTTTTAATAAGAATAATAGCGTACGTAAGTAATATCAATAAAAATTTGTAATAACTTATATATTAATAACTTAATAACTTAATATATATATATGTGTTTGGCAATCCGAATTTTCTTTCTAGAAAGAAAATTCGGATTATAACACTAAACAGAATGTCTCATATCGAGAATATTCCACATTGAACATGAAGAAAAAATTAATTATTTTAATAATATGTAAAAATCTCCACTTTCACCTGAAGACGGTTGCGAGACCAGACCAGAAACACGTGTCGTGAAATTATGTAAAAACAAAGTATAATATTTTTTCTCAATAAATCCACATTACAACCAAAAACGTTTTGGCACCCCTCTTCTTTTTAATATACATACTTTTCTCTCGTTGGAACCACTACAACATATTTCTTTTTATATATATATATATATATATATATATATATATATATATATATATATAACCGATTTTTGGTCAGAGTTTAGCCCAACCAGAGGACGCTTGTATTAAAAAGTGCTCTATACACAATCTAAAAAAATTAAAAGTGCAGAACTTTAAATATTAAATATGAAAAAATTAGGAACCCCTTACACATCCGCTACCATGGCTTCAATCATTACAGTCTTGTCTGACGAGACCTTAATGGTTTCATGTACTGAAAATTCAGATGTTAAGAAATTTTATATTGGAAGCACAAATAACCCTTTTAAATGGAGGTGGTATCAACATATTTCTTCCTTTAACAACAATGTAACCGAAACTCCTCTCAAAATATTTTTGGTATTTAAAAGAAATCAGTAAAACCCCAACAGTAAAATGGAAATTATTTAAATAAAACGAGAATTTTTAAGTTTTTAAATGCCCCATGGTCCCTTGTATCTACATGAAAAGCTACATATTAAGTTTCTTTAAAATAATGACGTATTAAATCAGCGGAATGAACTAACTGTAATATGAAGGCATTGTACATTGTTTAGTTTAAAATATAGTTAAAGTCTTATGGCCCATTGAATATAATAAGTATTGTAATATAGAATCAATATAATATAATATGTAAAAATGATTTAATCATACTAAAGGCCACTTTAAGATAGTTCTAAAGTACATACAAAAATAATATTTAAAAAAAAAATTAACCTATTGTTATATATATATATATATATATATATATATATATATATATATGACCATTTCATTATATCTTAAAATTATATTCTTAACTGGAAGTATTGGTAACACGCCTAAAAATGATATCTCATCTAGACAAGTATGACTAACACGCACATGCCTAAACCTCTAATTACATTTTTTCACTTTTCTTCTTTTGAACTGTCTTTTGATTGGTCAAACAGGACATTCCCATAAAATTTTGAAATCTTGTTTTCCCCTTCTTTATAAATCTTCGATAACATACCATTCTGTTTTCAATAGTAAATCATTTTCATCAAAAGTTACCAATTTCTCAGTTAGCTGATTAATGTTATCTTCAGCATCCCGACAAGTTTCGTAGACGTACCCTCCAGTAATCGTTCATGTCACTCCTCAGGGGATTTTTATATATACGTTTCCTGAAGTCGTTCTGTTATTCCGCCACATACAGAGTAATATCAAGGGGCTAGCAATAGTCACTTAGCGACGTTGATCTTCTCAACAAGTAGCCTGACGTAATTTATAAGGTGCAAATAGCAGGGTACCCTCCCAACTGTCATATCCGCACCTAGAAAAGAACATTATATTAAGCAAAAACTAAAAAGGCATTGAAATAATTTCAATGCTATTTTAGTCGTTATTTCTCCAGTAAGACACAGGCAAAACTTATTTTTTGTTGGCTTGCACACCAAAATGTTCAACAACATTCAGTGACTTATCACAAGAAAACGGATATTTAACCCAGTAGGGATCCCATCAGATATATATCTATAATATAGTATTATGAAACAAACATTTGTACTAAGATATCTATCTATCTATCTATCTATCTATCTATCTATCTATCTCAGTTTGTTCCTATATATCTGACTTGTATTTCTCTTTCTGTCAACTGGGATTTAGCCTAATTAATAAAATGACTGGTAATTTCTTATTACATAAATTTCGATGAAGTTCATGCACTGGGTTCATACATTTTTTATGCATTGAATCAGGCATACAAAAGTGCATCTTCTCAGTGGAAAGCAAAAATAAAGTTATGGAATTAGAAATGGGTTGTATGTGTGACAAAGACAAAGATGATGATGCCATTATACTCTGCCCGAAACGAAGGGTTCTGTTCATAATTAACAAATGCGTGAGACACCCCCAAAAAGGTAGATAATTATTACCAATGCTGTAATGAAAACGCCGTCTCAAATTAATTATATAGAATAAACAAAATAACAAATACACAAAGTTACTGGATGTTTTGAAAGAGATGAAAAAAAGAAAAACTGTTGGGTGTTAATTAAGAAAGCCCTCTTCTTTATGGTTATGCAGTCCGTTCTTTATTTCTACACATGTAAGTATGAATATATCACAGTAGGTAATCAGTAGAAAGCTTAGCAAATTTATTGTTAGCAAACATTACTGATGTTGATACTCCCTTAACAATCGATCTAATTCGTCCACCTATAAAAAGAAGACCACATACTTATATTCTGGCAAGCAACTTAGTCACGGCATTTGTGAAATATATAAATAATACGAAATAAAGTAAAAGCAAAAAATACAAATATATTTTCCGGTCGCTTTTTTAATCTCTGTACACTACTCAAATAGCTTACTTTTCCTCAACACTTTGTAAACTTTGATAGTGCGTAAAGACAATTTTCATGTCCAGGCAATCTTCACTTAAAAGTTAGTCTTATTACCCTTTCACTGAAAATCATTTGATTGACGATAATGTTTTGCTTAATTTTGTCATTAAAACGGTTGGGTTGTAAGGAGAGCCAAGATGTTTGAATCTTGAAAGAACAGATTTAACCTTTTGTGGATACGTTCTTGTTACTAGCTCTTAGATTTCGAACAATTCCAACAGCATTGCTTACATCATATCGTAACGGTCCCAAAAAGGACGAAACGGCAGTCCAGTGCTTTCTGTATTCTGTTGACGATTCTTGTTTTAGAATCAATGAATTATTATGAGAAATATATATAGAACATTATAGAGACAGATATATTTACTATAATCGGTTTCAGGTTCAAATGAGATTATGTAATATCTAAATTCGAAAACTGACCGCTAAGACTTATGTAAATTATGCAAATAGTGTAGCCATCATGTAGACGTAATATATTTCAGTATATAACGTTCATTACAAAGCATGTTCTGTGATTGCTTTTGATAATATTTGATCCAATTTTATAGAACGTCATTTATGTGACACAACATCCCCTCATCACTAAATAGTTTTGATTGTCTTTTAATTTTACAGAGAAACACAAAATGTGAATTAATTTTATTCATACTGAACTATACCGGTTTCTATCTTATCTTTTATCAGTCATTCCTTAACAAAGAAAATATTATTCACAAAATGTATAATAGAATAGTTTACACACGTGAAATGCTCCTTTAGCAAATAAAGACGATAAATTAGGATACTGAATAATTAACAAACTTCCTACAATAACTTTTTCTGCCTATCCTTTAGAAAAGAAAAAAGTAACTGATTGATTTCTGGATCTGTCCATCTGCTAAGGTGGATAGCTCATTTGTGTTTCAACACCCACAAAGCCATAAATTAAATCCTGATCTACTTTTAAAGAAGTGATTATGTGCGACCAAACATACACAATGTGTAGTGAAACAAAACAATAATATTTGCTATCAATTTCATACAGTTATTTCAACCGAATGATAATGTCCGCGGTAACATAGGAACAATTGTTTCAGTTAAAGTGCAATTTCTAAATATGCCTGTTGTGGAACAGCAATTCAAACATGATCATAACGAATTAATGTGTTTTATCTTAAAGAGTTTATGTTGTTCGTTTGACTTTTGATTCTCGCCATCATATGTTTATGTCATGAATGTTAAGACGATGTCGCCACAAGGTTCAATAAAAATGAAAATTTGAAGTTCAGTTTTAGCTTTTTATTCTGTCACAGAAAGAAAGTGATAAGAAAATATCATATTTGTCTTTATATATATCGGTACAAACCTATGCTTAAACACACGCATATACGCATGTATATACGCATATACACGTACTCACATAAGATTGTTCGATTGATTGTACAGAGTCATAGTAATAGTTGTGCTTTTGTTGATTATGTGAGGCATTTATTGGAGAGCAGTTTGCCCAAATGCTCGATAACATCGCCTCTGACAAGACACCATCACACGCCAGTGAAGATATTTTCTCAAAATAACTGATGTTAGAACAGATCGTAGGGAGGAGTGATTTCCTGCCGTTCTATGAGACATTAAGTAACCTTAGCGGGAAATTGAAACTCATTTTTCTGTATTTCGTGATTGCAATCGTTACATCACTTGTTATTATAAAAAGCAAGAAGATGGTTATTTGTATATTATCAGTTTCTCAATTAGTGGAAGTCTTCTAGTCATTCTCTGAAAGAATCTTTCAAATGAGTCGGTTTCAATGTGCTGTTAAAATTAAGGAGATCATTTGTACCTCTTGAAAATATTCATTATTACTGTCAAATATTTGTTTGTTAGACAATGATCAAGTATCACAGCTGAACCTAATTCTGAAAAATATATTTAAATGGGAGCGATATTTGATTTGTAATCATGTTAAGAGAACTTGTCAATATGATAAGTTGATATTTGCTAAGGTGAGTTTCGCTTGGTAGAAGCGGGATATGGATTTGGGAAGAGTTTGCTTGTATTCAACATCCTAGCTTTTTAGATTTGAACACCCGATCACGGATACGTGACTAAACTACGTAGCCATCTCAGGCATCAAGCTAAGTCAAGGTTTTTCCAAAATCATTTCATGCAGTTCATTATTGAACAGAGATATCAAACAATACAAGGTAGTGTATTTGTCAACATGAAATATGGAATCAGCGAGACAAATTCAAATTACAGCTATGGCTTAATCTCTTAAGGAATGGCCAAAATTCAGTTCTCCCTGTTCCTTGTTACATCATTAGACACACGCGCGCACACCCACACACCCATATATATATATATATATATATATATATATATATATATATATATATATATATATATATATATATATAAGTTTGCGTGCACAAATTCATGTATTTATAATGTACTTTTATTACTATAAAAGTTAACTTTAGTGGGTACACGTGTTTGAGTTACTATGGCTGTTTTTTATTTAAAAAAGGGATGGAAACTTAAACAGTTGTACACACGAAAAATAACGTTTGTAGAAATGTATGTATTTTCATCTGTCTTTTTCACTATGTATCTTATTCGCAACTGCTTGGTTATGTTAGTCGCTTTGATGTGTGGCTTACATTATTTTATTCTTTCATTATTTTTGTTTTAAAGTTCATCTTTCCACTAAACTACATAAATATGTTCCTCATCGGCAACCTCCTCTTGCATATTTTCTTCATCCTTCATCCGTTTCCACTGCTTCTTCTTTTCTTCACCTGTCGGCCCGTAGCATCTCCTCAGTTTCCAATTTTCATAACTTTTCTTCATTTCCTCCATCTTTCCAAGCTCTTTTCCCGCCAATTCATCTAAACTTAACTTTCAACATGAAAATCTTTTCTTTTTCCTACCCATCTCCAACCGAAAATATCAACCACAAACCGCATTCACCTTCGAACCCCTAAACACTCCCTTCTACGTTTGACGCTCTCGTCACTTCACCATTCTTCCTTCCTCACTTTCTCACAAAAACAGAATAGAACACGAAATATTTGGTCAATGTCCAAGAGATGTGAAGAGAAAACAGACCCGGTCATAATTCGCCCAATCAGCGGTTTGCTTAGCTCTGGGCCACGCCCATGGCCAGTGCCCGGATCGGAGACCCCTCGCCAAATTAGGTAAAAATATCTCTTTTCTGATTTATGGCCCGAAGGGAAGCCTGACTTAATTTTGTATAATCAGCAAACGGCAAACAGCAAGATTATACGCGTGTGCGTTTGCGTGCATTTCTCCACATTTGTCCAAATCTTGGACCGACTTTCTTGGCTGTAGAATGCTTTGTCTGCCTTCATATGGAAGTGGTTGAGTTATTTATTATAGACACATGTTTGCTCCCCGCGCGCCACTGTCTCTGCTTTCCAATATGTACTTTATATCATGCGAATACTTGTCTTTCTCACGCTTTTTATGATCGATTTCTTTATTTCTTCTCTTTCTCTATTAATCTTGCCATTTTCAGTCTTTTGATCTATCTATCTTTGACATTTTCCATTTCATTACTTTGCACGTTTTACTTTTTTTCTTTCGTCTGTTTACTTCTTTCTTTCTTTTTTTTTTGTTATATTTTCATTGTCTCCTTTCGCACTTTTTCGCTTTTAAATCTTTTCTTTATTCATAACGTTCTTCCCTCTTTTCTCCTTCTGATTTTTCTTCCTTTACTTAAACTTTAAATTCTTTTCTTAATATCAATCAAGAAGTGTGCGCAGGTATAGCAAATAAAAGAAGTATTTTCATATTTATCAATGCAGGTTTAGTGGTTGAAATTGTTGTATATCTTCTGTCTGTAGTTCTAGTCAGTTTAGGCCCAGAAACATTAGAATCTGAGAGTAGTTAAGTACCTATTGATAAAAACGGACTGGAGTTAACCATTCCAATGTGCGACAACATTGGGAATTGCCTTAAAATTATACCATAGGTTAACCCAAATTATGTGAGTGAAATAAAGGTGTAGGAAAACCACCGATAAGTGTGCTACTAAGTAATCAAAAGTCATCATTTAATAGGCAGGTAGAACCTATTTAGACTTGGGTAGAAATATATCTAGAGGGGGTAACTTGATAAAAGCATTCATCGCCCAACAACCTGGCCACTAGCGGGAATATATCAATGGAAAATAAATAAATAAAAATAACTCACAGAAACTGAAAATTCTTTAAAGAAAGAAATACATTTCATGTGTTTGATTCTGACGTTGCATGATGATGGAGAAATACTTCCTGTAATCTTCTAATCTTAGTTTAATATTGAACCTCATTTTTTCTCAGCTAATGACGAAGCATAAATAAAGGATGAATTTTTCAATGACAATATAATTACTTATGAATATATACATAGTAAGGTTTTTGTTAAAGTAGAATCTTAGAAACAAAGAATAAAAAAATGATAGGTATGTAAGTATAACATGCGCGCTAATATAGAATTAACAACAATAATTAACAATAATAACATTTTAAAGTACATCTAAATAAATAAATAAACAGCAAATTCTGTCTGTCCCTCCGTTAGTCTGAAACCCCTCTAACTCGGGTCAAACTTACGAGACATAGACATGTTATACCTTTCTTTTGGGAATCAGGATGATCCCGGGATTGAAAATCTACCCTCCATCTGGTGCTTAAACATGCAGCATTGGGATTTATATCCGGATGAAAAGGAAACAGTAAACATCCAAATTTTAAAATAAAATTTAGTCGATTTTAATTTTTTTTAAATTTATATTCGGTTTGAGTGGTTTCGTGACGTGAGGTTTTGAAGTTCCACAGAGTTTGTGATTTGAAGAACTCAATTTTTGGCCCGAATTGGAATTTCGGCCCAAATCGGAGTTTCGGCCCAAATCAGAGTTTCGGCTTAAATCGGAGTTTCGGCCCAAATCTGTTTTTTGGCCGGAATTGGACCAGAGGTTGCTTTAATTCGGAGCCAGAGGCCCAAATAGCTTTTCGTAGGCGCTAGCTTAAAATTCCGCACGGTGTGCATCTTTTAAGCTTGTTTAAAATAAAAGCCAAAACACTAATGGCACATCAGCATAGCAAATATCGCTTGTTTGGACAGTAATGCCTCTAAAGATTGTATTTCTCCTATTTCACATCATGTATCATTATTTCAACTTAATGACTTAACATGTAAAGTTCATGTCTCGTAGGATAGTCCGTTTGATATGCCGAACAAGTACCTGTTTTATAGCTTATAGAGATTATACAGAAATGCTCTTTTGGGAGAAGAAATGGGTCGACATGACATGAACCGTGTCATTCACAACCGTCTGAGGAGTATCGGAGAGAATCTTAAACTATTTAGTTTGTGACATTTTGCGTGAATAAGAATTGTTTAATACTTTCGCATTATTCCGTCCAAAGTAAAATAAATATAAGAAAATGACAAAAAGCAAATTATATTTCATATGTAACAACTAACAACAACTTAGGATTTTAATAACATTTACTCTAATAAAATATTTATCATTTATTTCCTTTTTAAAATTATTTTTATATTTATGTTGCTCATTTACCGCAAATTTTCAATAAATGTGGATTTTATCAAAATTTGACTAGATTTAATAGTATTTAGTGGCATCTGTTGATGATCCATTGATACTCGGCATATTTTGGGTGATCAGAAAATTATAATTATATGGGGCAATGTATGTTTCGGCATGAGTAGCATTTACTTTTAACTTACTTCGTGAATGTGCAGATATCACAGTGTATTATTTGAAGCACAGATTTCATTTTTTCGCGTCGATGAAAGCGAAAAAATGAAATCTGTGTTTTAAATAATACACTGTGATTTCGTAATAGGACAAAAAAAGCCTAATTCAATTTCAACCTGTTGTGCTGTGAAAAGTGAAAAGGATATTACTTGGATAAAAGATTGGCTTAACCATTGACTGAATTGATCTGGCCATGTGCAACACCTTACGCACTTAAACAACATCCGTCCATGCTTTTCTTGAGAAAAACAATCGGACAGCTGGCGATTCCAAAGATTACTTCTCAATGTATTTTGGCAGCTATCATATCAGTGTGCATATTAAAAGTAATTTTTCAAAATGGGGATACTTATTTTACTGATTATAACATTGAAGATAAAAAATCATCCACAGCTAATCGGTTGGAATTCATAACGATTAAATCAATCCATCGACATTATATAATCTGAAAAAAGCTGAAATATTTAAAAAATATCCGTCTATATTTCTGAGATGATGTATTATGTACACTATTTACATTATTCGGACTATTGTCCTCATCTTTGTCGTCATATTTATTACAACGTTTCGGCCGTTGTACGCTCCGGCCTTCTTCAGGTGGTTGGAATGTCGAACTGAACCCTTTATTAACCAGGTATTGAACTCGCACTCTTTGGGTCCTGTCACTGGATCTAACTAACGCCTTTGTCCACTGTGACATGTGACCTTGATAAAGGCGTTAGATCCAGTGACAGGACCCAAAGAGTGTGAGATCAATACCTGGCTAAGGCAGCGGAGAACTTGGAGAGGGGAATTAACAGGAGATAACTGATGACTGACATCTATTATGCACGTGGAACTAGAACAGTCTACCCCAGTGACGAAATAAAGGGTTCCGTTCGACATTCCAACCACCTGAAGAAGGCCTGAGCGTACAACGGCCGAAACTTTGTAATAAATATGGCGACAAAGATGAAGACAATAGTCTGAATAATGTGAATAGTGTACATAATATCCTAATTAAACAGTGACAATCATTTGCAACAGCTGCATTATTCCCCACTTGCATAACCGTATTTAAATAATTTACTTTTTAAACAAATTAAGAGATCATCTGACAAAAAAAAAAAAAAAATGATTTTGCGGATTTTACGTGGATTTGTGATTCTGTGATAAGATCTGAAGTCCACGACCATAAACTCCTTCCATTTGATTTGAACAAGTCTTGCGCCCAACTAGACGAGTTGAAGGCAACGCCTGGTATTAATAATGAAAAGTGCAGTAAAGGAAAATAGCAATCGCGCTATAATTATTTTGGTCAATCCAATAGAACATGTGATTTGATTCATATCCTAAGTAAAACGGGATCTTATAATTTATGTCGTAGTTGTCAAATAATATAAAAAATATTTATTAATTAATTAAAATGATTTTATAGATTTCGTGTAGTCTACTTCACCTAATAAGGATGATATGATTAATAGTTTTACACAAATACCTTTTTTATAACCACAACATTATAATAATACGTCATCATCAGATTAAATTTCACGATATAACATTTTTAGCATAGAACACGTTTAAATTTACTCAAAGTCATTAATTAACGTGTTTAAAATAAATAAATCTGTTAACGAATTTCATTTATTATCTGAACGTGAAAGGTGTATCTGCGAAACTTCAAGTCAGAAGATAAGTCATTTGAGCTATCTATCTATCTATCTATCTATCTATCTATCTATCTACACATTGGGTATCTGCAGCCTCGAGTCATGCTCACATTACAATAGTGACGAGTATATTTTAGCTTTCCCTCACTAGTTTGCAAGTCATGTAAATTTTTTTTAATATAATTCTAATACTTGTTCTTTTATTTATTTGTGCATTATGATATCCATGTTTAGCTCGCTATACGCACGAACGTGCGTATTTACTTAATAGAGATTTGTGTGGTTTGTATATGCAGAAGTTCATGACACACTTTAAAAATTGGAGTTTACTTGCAGCGTTGAAAACTGAGTTTACCTTGGAAACCGTTACATAAACTTTTATTAATATCTTGAAAACACTTTTAAAATATTAGAAAATGATATAATTAATATCTTGTGACAGTGTTTCATCTTCATTGACTCTTTTATGTTTATTATATCTTGCTTCTTTTTGTGTATTTTAGTTTGTTTATTTCAGTCATCTGTTAAATGGTGCATGCGCAAATTACACAGATGTTCGTAATTATGAGTTTTTCTTCCCATGTAGATTTGTCTAATGCAAGGTTAAGCTAATTCCCGATCAGGGAACATCTTTTGACTATAAGGAAAAATTCAATTTTCAAGTAAAGTTAGTTATGCCAAAGTAACCAATCATGCACTTTTTCTGTCACACATCGTGGCATCCGAGCGACGGGAGAGTTTTTCTTTTTTTTAAGATGTGACAGAACGCAAGAATAAATCGATTTTTTACTTTCTCAAAGGAACTTCTGTTAAGGTAACCTCAGTCGAAATTCGAATTCCTTTCTGTGCATTCCACTAACATTCATTGCGCAGGTCACACGCACACAAACACACACACACATACATCATGTTAAGTTCTTTCCTGATAATTTTTACTTTTGTTAATTTGAATTTTCTTCACTTCAATTAATTATGCCTTGACACGTAGACATTTGTTAAGGCCGCACTATCTGAATAAGAACGATATAAAACGTAGTTGGTCATCGCAGAACGTAAATTTCTTTCGTTCTGCGTGAGTCCATGAAAGCTAAGATTCTTCGTTGCTTCTACTGTTGAAAATGGCACGAATTGGTCAGCAAAAACCTGCCAAAAGCGAAACGTGCCGGAATTGAGAAAACCTAAGCATGGTGTAGACAGACACAAAAGAAATAGACGAGAACAACTCGAACGCCGATGGCTGTACGTCTTTTCAAACCTTTCTGATTGGGAACATGAAAGCCGTCAACTGGTCTGGTTTCATACCGACGGCGAATTCAGATCAAAGAACATTCAAGAATTCGTAAATGACGGACTGCTTCATTTTTTATCCTATCAGTCTACTTTTTCTTTTCTTTTTTTCTTTCATCTACTTTAATTAATACTTTTTTTTCTTATTTTCCTCTCGCGCATTCTTTATTTTCAAAGCCTAATTATTTCTGTTACTTTGCGTTGTCAGTTGTTTTTTCTTCTTTCTATCATTTCCAACTTTACCGTCTTTCCTAGGGAAAGCAACATTTTCCTTATCTTTAAACAATTCGTCTTCAACAGCTCTTTTCATTTTACATTTTCTTCAGATATTTCTTTGTCTTCGTATTCTTTTTCCACTCTGAAAGATCCATGTGTGCCCATTCTTCCTATTCGTTTACAGACGTTTCTTGCTTTTAATATATTTTACACCCGTTTTTATTTATATTCTTTATTGTTTCAGAACCAGAAACACCGCCCGACTACTTTGAAGGTTTGTAGACATTGTTGCATACGATTTTCTTATATAGTTATGGTTACCGTCTTCATTTTCTTGAGACTTTTGCATTGCTATTAAACTGAACAAATTTCTTTAAAGTGCTTTGACGCCTTTTATATCTCTTTCTTTTTTTATTTTTCGAACTTTTTATCTTTATTTGTTCACGATTTATTTCGGCCTTTATATCCATCTTTCTCTCCTTTAAAAAAAAACCTTTAAGTTTCGACCTAATGCATAGAATATATTTCTTTCTAATTTCTTATTTCTTCTTTCGCTCTTCTTCACTTTATTCAAATATCTTAAATAGCAGTAAACATACATATAACGACAACAAGTGTTATCTGTCTTGATTGCCATACAAAGCTACCATAAGTAGGATAAAATATTCTGTTTCAATTGAGATGATGATATAATCTCTCCTTCTTTCTTGCTTCTTTTCAATTTCCCTTTAATTCTATACGATTTTCAAATTTCTATCATTTCCAAATTCTTTTTATTTTATTTTTTCATTTCTTTTTACAGTTTCTACATTTCTTTACTTGAATTTCTTTTCATTTTTTCCTTCTTCACTTTTCTTCCTCTTTTTTCCTTTGTCTTCACCACTTTCTCTTCTGTGCTTATTCAAAGGTAAACATCTGTCAAAAGGGTCATCATTTGAATAACAATGATGCGAAACAGCGTTAGTAAAGATTTTCTCATAATTGAAAACGTCTGCGACTTTTACTTTAGGTGAATTTAATTTCCATCTAACAACAGATACGTTAAATCAGGAAAGCGATTTTTTCGAAGCCTTTGAACGTTGAGTTTCATTTGCTGTTTGTCTTCGTCGTCCGAAACAATAAAGTTATTCAATAGAAGATGTGAACTTCCCCCTAAAATCTGATTTTTTGGTCTTTATTTTCCCTTCCGCAGATATAAATTTCCCTAAAATTGACGAAGAGAGAATATTTTTCTACTGGTTATATTAGCTTTAATGACAGTAAATCATTATAAGTATTTTACAAGTATTTCCCTTATCCTTCTTGAAAATATATGTCTGTAGTTTTATTTCATATCCGAATAGAAAAAAGTGTCGGATAAGCAGCTCCCAAGGAAATCGCGTGTTCATTCTTTGAGTCAGGAAGCGCAGAAATATACAGCAAAATCAATGAAAAAGCAGATAAACATCAGAAGAAAGTATTTACTATTATGTGTTGTGAAATTCCCTCTGAAGGAAAGCAAACATGACAAGACAGCAATATAACCAACATACCTCAGTGGATCAAAGAAAATTTAATATTTTTTACAGGGAAGATGTTGAATCTGACATCAATTCGTTAACAATCTTCTGTTTATTAGAAATTTAATAAGTAATTTCAAATTGAAATGAACAAAGAAAATCACTAAATCCTAGTTTTAGCTCTCTGCAAATTATAAGTAACTTACATGGATACTTGATATTATAAGCAAAAAATAACTTCAAATATAATAACACAGGAAAACGTGATTGTCTACACGATTAAAAAAAAAAATTCCAGGGTTTAAAATATATTCTAATCTACAAAAACATAATAAATAGTGTAGTCCCTTATTTTAAGGCATTAAGGTAGTATTTATTCCACTGCGAGCCAGAACAACAAAAGAAGCTGTTTGGAGACTGAATGCGTGAATATGTAACTGGCTATAGAAAATACTTGAAATCAGGCTAAAGCCAATGATCTACTTTTTGACGTTATGGCAAAGGTGAATGACGCTGGGAGTTCATATTAGAAGTCAATGCTTCTGGAAGTATGGGGATCCTTCAAGTGAATATATCGTTTTTGTTTTTGTTTTTTATTTTGCCTTCCTCAGGGTAATTCATTCAGTGAGAAATATGATAGGGGTACAACTTTTAAACGAAACTTGCATGGAGGAGTACTAGGCAATTCAAGAGAGTCGAGGAACTGAATCGGATTCAGAACAGCCTTAGAAAAATCCTTAGCTGTCTCAATTGATTTGTACAACTGAATCTCCCAAGAAACTTGTAGTTACCCGTTTCTTTCTTTGGAGCAATAATGCTTCACTCACGGAGCCACTTACATATTTGGACATTTTTTGCATTTAAAATAGTTTGCGTTTTTATCCTAAAATGTTTGCTTTGATGGGGTTAATCAACATTTTACATATAGAACAGAATAAAATCAATATTTTTTTTAATGTTCAAATACTTTCCTTTGGCCGAAGAAAGTTATGTTAATAGAAGGAAATTAACCGCTTATAGCATCCAATGATCTCTGAAGTCAGTACCTTCTATCATGTAATCTTTTATATTCAAAGTTACTCCCACATATCGCTCTATCGCCAATAATGCAATTGTTTGGCTGCAATATATATAAGAAAGAATAAAAAGTAATAAATAACCTGCAATATTTTCTGACGTCAGGTTTGACCTATCTATCCTAAAAGTTCTGAGGTGAAAATATTTTTACTTCATAGCAAATAAAATATCTCCATTTCCATTTTGCTATAAATTGCTTTATTTTGCTACAAATGATATGACGATATCTAGTAACCTCAACAGCCTAACGAGGTCAACGTCACATCTGGTAAATCACATATGGGATTCATATAAGCTTCATGCCAAAGATATCGTCTGAGCATGATCGTGGCACGGCCATGCAAAATATAATTCCCAGTATAAAAATTCCCAAAATAAAATTCCCAATAAATATAATATAATTATATAAAATATAATTTAATATAATAAAATATAATAATAAGTAGAGAGTATAATTAAATCATATAAAAGTATTAAAATAATTATTATTTTGCTTTTTAAAAACAGGAAAAACTAAACTGAAAACGATAACGTTATCAGCAGTGAAATTTCAATGGTTTTCAGTAGTGATATTTCAATGTTTATTTCAAGCATCTTCAGGAGAGGATCAACAGGGATTTGTGTCACATGAGTAACGCAAAGTAAAACTAGATAAACAATACAAGATGTATAGTTATTTTCTAAGCGTAGATTAGATGTGGCACATGGCCGAAAGTATGGGACATCTAGAGAGGATCGAACTCACTTTTTAGTTGTAACTGATCTAGCGAGACAAGCTTGCTAACCATTACACCACGCCGAGTACACAAGTATTGTTTGGCAAGAAATACATTTTTCATTTAATACGTAACCAGCTCAGGATAAAATGGTTTAGTTAATACCATTTCGAGAACTTAAAGATACATTAGATGCAATTTCTAAAGAATTAATGTCTTTTTATTTATGGATTCGACACACTTTTATTACTTAAATGTTACATTTAGTAGATATCCATAATTGAGTATATTCCCCGTTTATTTTAAACAGAATTTTATTTCGTCTGAAAATTCGAGGAAGCTTATTAAAGAAAATGCGCCTTCCGTCTTTCGAAATCGCTTTGTTGACGTTTCAGATACGAAAAAGAGCAGTTATGATTTTCGAAGAAATCTGAACGAGTAAGATGTGCTTTAAAGGAAAATATAACGCTAATTCCTTCTGAATGTCATCGTAGACGAGTGGTCAAAGCACGTGAGATCAAACCACGGTTTCTCTTGCAAAAGGGCACAAGTTCTTTAATACAATTTCTCGAATGTTCACGCGGGTAGACGAATGAAATACTGTTTAAAATAAATGGAGCATCTACTCAAATATGGGTATCCACTAATAACGTATAAGTAAAAAATATGTTGGATTAATAAATAGAAATCCATTAATTCTTTATATATATATATATATATATATATATATATATATATATATATATATATATATATGACAATATTAGCTCTCGAAAATAATTTAATCGGTCGAGCACAGTGGGGATAACGAATTTGTAAATAGTTACTCTTACTGCTGATAATGCAAGACTCACGTAGTGATTAAGTTCTGAGTGACTGGTGTGTTTATGAAAAATAAATACGAAAATATTCGCCTTTCTTTCTTTCCGGATTTCGGTCCCGGCCTGAAGCGTTCAGATTTCTAGCCACACTGTGATACAGCGAAACAGTCTGTCTGTGGATGACGATATATATATGATATATATATATATATATATATATATATATATATATATATATATATATATATATATATTTAAATAACAGGAGGGATTTTATTAATCAAACCTTATTTTATTTTATTTTATTTATTTTTATAGACAAATAGCACCTGAGATATCTTTCGGCCAGCACTTATTCATAGGTAACGCGTTGGCACATTATTTATTAGTATAAAAAGGACACAAATATTGAAATATTGGCTAAAATGGAAGAAAAGTCCGAGCTCGTTTAAAATTAATTTAAAAATATAATTAAAACGTAAGGGGTGTAAATCTCAGCTCGGAAAGAGTTAATAAAAAAAAAATTTTATATATATATATATATATATATATATATATATATATATATATATATATATATATATATATGTGTGTGGGGGAGAGAGAAAGGAGTAGATAGATTGTCCCTTTTGATTACATATCTATTTATTCATATACGTGTATTCATATGTATAAATAGATGCATAAGAATATCTATATATGTAGATATTTGTGTGTAAATGAGTTTATGCATGCGCACTCGCGTTTATGATCTTGTTAATGTTTTTGTGTGAACACATGTGCATCGAGTCCAGTAAATACAGAGGGAGAGAATTGATTTTTAAGATGGCTATCGATATTTCAATTCCTTTCTCTAAAAGGGCCGCTGTCGATATTTGAAAAGGAATATGATAAAGACAGGAAAATGGCGGAAAGAAGAAAGCTGT